CAAAATAATTTGTTTGGTATTCTGCCATTCTTTATCAAATAGAATGCAAACAATTATTAACGTTCCCCAAGAATTCATAGATCAAGACACTTCCAAAGAACCCAGACTCTTAACTTTTCTGCAAAACTATATAGACCATTGAAAATTAGCAATGGAGAGAAGAGCTTTCCTACATTCCAAAGCCTTATGACTCCTAAACTTTCAAACACCCATTAATTTCTTATAGATCCTGTTAAAAGGTGAGGGGAAGCCTTGGTGTTTGCATATCTAATAAGCCCCCGGAGGACACTGTTTTTGCTAGAGTAGGCAGACTCTGGAGTCACCTTTGAGCCCCAAGTTGGAAGTGATCTCTCCCTCTCACTGCCTGGAGCTGTTGTTCGTCTCACCCACAGTGATGTTATTACATGATTCCTTGCGTTTATTACCGATGCCGTGAATTGCATATCCACTGCAATATCTAATACCACACTGGTGCAGAAGCAAAAATATCAAGGGAAATATGCATTCCTCAGTCAAGAGTGCCAAATCTGCTGTGTAAAAAGATTCATGTTACAAGAAAAGAAAGGCTACATGCATGAAAAAATGATCTATCAGTGAGCTCTGACAGTCCAAGAGCAGCGATGCAAATAATTCCTCGTGTGCAGCCTGCAGGGGGGGTGTTTTGCTGTAGTTTTAGAAAATGTCTGATTTCTAGCACCTTAGATTTTCCACTCCTATAACCCACCAGTTGACAGAGGCCACCAATATCCTGTGATAATATTTGAACATAGAGGAAAAAAAGGTAAAGAAATGAAGCACATTTTCTTGTTCTCATTTTGTTTCTGAGGTCTCTTAACTCTGTGAACATGTATTTACTAGCCCCATATTATTTTTCTGAAATATAGACATTATAATTTAAAATAGAACATAGACAATTAAACTGGGGAGTGCCTTGTCCCTCATAATCACCATTATATATATAAAACTATATATGTATTCGTGTAATCACAGTTTTGTATATGTGCACTGCACATATAGATGTGTACCACATATCTATGGGTAGTGTACACACTGGAGACAACATAACCATTTAGATTTTTGCATCAAGGGTGCTAGGAAGGAACAGGATTCCATTGTTAGCTCATTTCTAAATGACTGTTACCAGCCTCAGGTGAAGGTTAAGTGACTCCTGCCTCCCACACTGCAAAGTCAGTCTCAGCAGTACAAGGTAATAGTTCATCACCTGTGCGGTGGCATTTCAAAAGAAAACAACAAAATGGGCAGATTATTTGTGTCATTTCTAGATACCTTAACATAGACTCAAAATCATACACTCAATTCACGGGAAACGATTTGGAAGAAAAAGACAGTGGCCTCTTTGTAATTGCCAATGCAGGGAATAAAGAAAATGTGACAGAGTTTGTCTGTGGGTCAAAATATGTTTCAACTTAATTTATTAATTTACTGATAAAGTTTAAATTAATGTCACCCCAAAGGTGGATGATAAGATGGCGTCCTGGGCCTGCAGTAGCAGCAGACTGCATGGCACGGCTGCAGTAGATGCAGGGGCTCAGCAGAGGGGCCAGGACCCAGAGCTCTGCCTCTGGTCCAGCTGCTTCTCAAAGACGGGTATAAAGCGCTTGGCTTCCCTCAACTCAGCTCAGCTAATCGTAGGTAATGTCATTGACCCGATTACCTTATGGGAGTCTATGGATCCAACTGGACACTGTGCCTAATGTTTCCATAACTCGTTCAATGTGCACCTGTTGAAAACCCACTCAATACAAGGTCAACGCTAAATGCTATAAAAGGCAGTGCACATGCATAAATACATGATAATATTATAGTTCATTGAATTTTCTTGTTAAACAAACTCCTTTTAGTTTTCATTCTTGTTGAAAGTTTCTCCAATATATTTTAAGACACGTTTCTACTCTAATAAGAATAGTCCAGGAAACACAAAATAATCTCTCTAGAGTGATTCAGTCGCCGTGGGGCTGCCCAGCTGCGTGTTCAACACGGAGCCTCCCCGTTACATAGAGCATAAAGGAGGACAATGAGGAGACGGCCATGGACGCCTCCCCCGGCCCCTGGATAGACACGTTTCTTCTTCTAAATTAACCCTCATCATCAGCTTCTTGGGTTATCCGTCTTGCATCCTCCAGACAGTGGCCAATAAGGAGAATGGGTTTTCTTTAAGATATCAGTTTCTTGGATTCTAATTTATAGATTTGGCCATAATATTTAGAAAGCTATGTCGCCAATATGAACATAGTAGTTACACTATTAATTATCTAAAACATGCACTGAGCTGTGTGTTTGGAAATTATAGCATTTTTTTACCCAACCACATGATTAAAAATATTAACTTCCTTTAACCTAGATGATTGGTTTATGGAACACTTACTATTAGAAATGTTTCTATTTATTTCTTTTAGCTGTCATCTCCAGAAATTTTTATACAATAAGTTTCGATGAAATATGACTAATAAGGAAACTTTATTCTCAAAAAAGGAAAACCATTTAGTATTAAAACAAAGAATTTAACTGATACAAAGACTATAGTGAATGAGGTAAGATTGAATAAAAAAGAGAAAGCCATCAAAATCTTTCACAAAAATTTTCACATGCTGATGAAATGTTATTAAATCTATAACTTATTGATTGGAGAGCTCTTAAAATATTTAACATTCTAAAACTTATAAGAAAATATCAAATGATAGAGTGTTAAAGGAAAAATTATATTCAATAAAATAAAAAGAGACACCTAAATTAAAATTTTCATATGAAACTTAAACCAACAAATTGGTAAGCAGCAATAAAGCCACAAAAAAACAGTGAGATTTGACTCTAATATACTTAAGAGCCTTGAATTCATTTGCCCCTCTAAGTAGTCACATAAGAAAGTCATTTCAGAGGCTAGAATGTATTTTCCTAATTAGAGGAAGTGGGTTGGACTGGTATAAAACACTTTGCCAATACATGAGATAATTACCAATATTAGGAGAGGCAATAGCAAGAGGTTCAGATTAAGGATAATAGTAATAAAAGAAAAGAGCAGAGAAAATGCGATGGCCGTGATTTAGAAAGACACAAGAGAGGCTTCTCGACACCACCTGTAACCTGAATTGAGTTCGGGGAAAAACTGGAAATGCTAATAAGGAATATGATTAAAGGTGGGCCTGTGGTTATAAATTGCTTTTTTAATGGTGATGATAGTAGCTGACATAGAGTATAATAAGAAGATGAGAATGTCAGTATCAATTTTTATTAGTGCCATGAACAATATACAGTATATTTAAATTAGCTTCATTTGTATTAGTATTTTTGTAAGTAGTCGCTCTAGAAGCAATAACACATCCAATGCATTCTAAAAAGAAGAACTAAATAAAGTTGCCAATGTGCTATACAAAATAGCCATAACTTCTACGCTGGGGAAAACATGTCACATTTCCTAAGATACTCAGAATTCAGGCACCCAGCCGTGACTCTGGCTCAAAACAAATCTGTGGAATAAATTGGAAGATCAATTGTAGGAAATGGAAAAATGGTACAAAATAAAAAGATACTAAAAATCTAAGTTTCCATATAAATCAGTACTTTTCCCCATATAGATCAGTACGTTTTGCCCCACATTTGGATAGAACCATAATTAGGCTCTACGTCTAGGGCAACTTAAACCACGTAAGAAACAACTTGGGAATCGGTCAGCCTCGGTCATTCTATGAAATATGAATACCTATAAAATTTAAAATGATCAATTGGTGATTTTTATAAACTGGTTCTTATTAAAGAAAAATAGATGAATTAATTTTGTTTATGAATTTCCCTAGCAATTATCATCAGCTTTCTGAGTTACTCTAATAACAAATTAGGTAAAACAGAATATCTGACAAAAAACAAGTTATAGAGAATTAGAATATGAAACATTATTATTTTTTATTAAAATGTATTCTTTGTCCAAATTTAAGAAAGCTAGGCTGTTGACAGATACACCATAAGGGTTAAAATGCAGAATTATAGAAACTGAGCTGCCTGAGAACTTGAACAATAAACGTCTTTTCTATTTATATTCTAAATAGTATTAATCGTGTGTGAGTGAAAGCAAGGCCTGGAGGTTGAGAGGTGGCCTTTAGGTCGGAAGTCTGGATTGCTTAGCAGTGTGTGGCCCTGGGCCAGTCACACAAACTGCTTTCATGTTCTGCACCTGAAAATCGAAGGATCATCATTTCTACCTTATAAGGTCACTGTGAGACTAAGTGAGATAATAAAGTGATGAAGAAAGCTCAAGAGTGTCTGGCATATAAGACCTCAATAAATATTAGTTTTATTATAATTATTGATGCTAATAACATGCTTACATAGTCATTTCTATTTCTGCACAAAAGCTGTAAACATTTTTTTCCCATGAATTTGCTTCTCTCTGCTAATTCCTTCCTTTTTCTCTATAAATTATACATTTCTTCTTAGGCCAAAGCACACACATTCATTCGTTAACAATTTTTTTCAAGTTGCTTTTCGGGACACGTCACTCAGAAGGCCGTTTTGGTGCCCGTGACGGCCGTGGCCCCCTGGAGGCCTGCGCCGCCGGCTCCTCCCACCGCGGCGGCCATTACAGCCTCCGAGCCTTCCACGGGCGCGAGGAGTCTCCACACAGACGGGGATTTTAAATGGCAGCAGATTTAAAAAGCAAGTATTTAGAATGAGCCAGGTAATTCGATAGTTTGACCCTATTAAATGTAGGGGTGCCCTCTATGTACTGCCCTTATCGAAGTGGTTTAAAATGTCGCCTCTCAGTGGGGAAATCGATAACACAGGCAGGGCCATGGATGCCTGCTAACGAGCGTCCACAGAGAAGAGCCTCGACCTCGGTTCAGACAGGCAGTGTCCGGCGGGCGGGCCGAGGTGACGCGGGCACGCAGGCCGCGCGGGCCACGGCGGCGGCGGGGCGAGCGGTGCGCCTGGCTCTGCGTCAGCGCTGCCGCACGCGCCCGCTCTCAGACGTTTCCCCTAGGAGCACGCGGACCAGTGTGCTTTCAGAAAGGCGAGCCCAGTGGCGGGTCTGGGACCTCCCGGGCTGGCATGCCACACAGCTGCTCTCCTCTGCTTCCTCGGCGCGGGGCAGAGCCGAGCGGAAAGGTGGCCTGCGCCTGCCCCTGCTCTCCTTACGCTAAGCCAGGAGTCTAAGGTTACCAAGCATAAACCGTTCTAATAACCAACACCACTCAACATGAGAAAAGTAATGTGGGGCGAATCTTACCTGAGTTCCTGGATTAAACAATCCACTGGCACTGTTGATGAAAATAAAAAGGTAGAAAGGAAGGGAGGATGAGAGGGAAGGAGGGAGGGAAGGATAAGTGAGAAAAAAAAAGTAGAAAAAAAAAAGAAAAAGACTTCATCAGTTGCTAATTTTCAAAACTGTATGATCGAAACTTTCCCCCACCTACAAGTAACGACCACTTGCTTTCCTACTGGGTGGGTTGGTTTTTTCTTGTTCTGGCTCTTTGGAGATAAGAGGACAGAGGAAGTGTGCCAGAACAGACCAGCTCTGGGTTCGTGCCGTGGGTGGCCCTGGGGTCTTACAGTCACAGCTTGGACTTTCTAAGTACCTGCCTTTAGAGATGCTCTGAAAACTTGCAGGGGTATGAAACACTTGAACTATTTTTAAAATACATTTTATTGTAATAGGAAATTATTCAAGAGAGTCTCAAGGTTACATTTTTGTTGATATTAAGTATTGAAATAAAACTAGCAAAGTTTTACTGTATGAAGATGTCCTGAGACTTTATTCCATAAACTTCCCACATATAGGAAGGAAGTGGGGAATAAGCTTCAGCCATGTTAATATCAACAACCTTTTAAAAATGAGGAAATTATAGGAAAAAGAGCTTTCATTTTTCTGACTGAAATGATGGGAACTAAAGAAGTTCATGTTTATAAATGCCTGCCTACATGAGGGTAAGCAGCATATTGCGGGAGACAACAGGTGGTTTTGAAGATTACTCATGCTTCCCGAGAAAACGGTTGTTTTATTTCTAGAAGAACATTTTGGCTCTATTTAAGTGCGTATATGCCTGTGCCAGAAGAATTCAAAGTCCAAAAAGAATTGCAAATTAAAAGACCCACATTTTAAAAGGATGATAGAGTAGTGTGCTTTTAGAAGTCAAAATAAGAAATTCAAATAATCCAACTACAAGCTCTGGAATGTTGCTATTTACGGCAGGTGTGAGCCTCTCCCAAATAATAAAGCAATTTGTTTTTATTAAACTTGTATCCTACTGAGAAATTTGCTGCATAAAAAGTCAATGTTTAGAAATACTACATTCCAAATATTATAAGGATATAGCATATGATTACTTTAAAAGTAATTTAAACTGAAACTGGAAAAGATTGCAGTGTAAAACCTCTGTTTGGGTAGAGAAAAGTCCCACGTCGTATAGAGCATTATCCTGCATTTTGGTTACCATGGCTAACAATGACCATGGTTATATTTTAACTAAAAAAGAAAAAAAATTGTCCTTGAATTTATTAAAAATGTTTGGATTATAGACTCTACTCAAACAGGAATTAACTACCTATACAAACATCTGGGTGACGGAAGCATTCCACGGCATCGGCCACCTTCAGCTGTGCACCTCCAGGCCCTTTCCAGGGCACTGCAGGGCTGCTGCGGCGACTCAGCCCTCCCTCCGCAAGGTGGACTCCAGGAAGGGTAGGGTGGGGCGGGAACAGCTATCAGAGAGCTTCCAGAGGCCGTGGTGAACCTACAGTTTTCCACTTAGAATGAAGGGTCACAGAAATATAGCTAATTATAATAAAAGTTGTTTTCCTTAAGGGGTATTATTGCCAGTCAATCCTGTTTTCCAGATGTTTAGATCATCAAGGGCCTGTTTATATTTCAATATTACATTACCATCTGTTGGTTACAAAAAGAGAGGGATAACCGGCAAGTTAAACCTTCCAAACATTACTTTGCAGTGCTGCTGGAAATTCCCAACAGAGACAGTCAAAAAACAAACATCATCATTTTACTTGGACTAAGTTTAGATTGGGAACTACTAAACCAGACAACATAAAAATCGAAACCTGCTTTGGCAATAAACTAACAATTCGGTCTTTTCCGGTGGCCATTAAAGGTCACTTTCAGAATCTGAAGGTCTCTATGGAACATTCTTTTCTTGCTGAACCTTATGCTTTTTTGCATGATGTTCAAATCTACTCATGACTGTATTTTGTAAAAATTGGCATCATACATCATTTGGACTTTTCTGAGTCCTTTAACTCCTGGTTCATATTTTGCGTCTCAATGCCAAGAGCCAGTGTCCTGGTTTGATTTGTGAAAAAAAAGAAGCCCCGAGGAAGTTGTAATCATTCTGACTGCACATTAGGGACGGAGCACTGGAACCCCCAGATTTCATGGCGTGGTGGGCACAGTGTTATAGGACTTGCTTGCTAACTCACCCTCGGTTCCTTTAGAGCGAATACACGGCGTTTTATCTTCAGCCTCTGCTTCCATCTGTAACATGAACACAAAGTCCTGAGGTCATTCATTTGACATTGACCAAACTATAAAAACATGTAATTAGAAGTTCTGAAGGTCATTATGAAAAACAGAGCAGCCCTCCATGCTCTTGAATTGCATTCTGGCTCTACAGGTATGTAACTGTGCCCGCCCTCACATACCACCAGCTTTGGAAATGCATCTCTAGATGCTGGAAACCAGAGAGAACAATGACAAGAGGGCAGATGTCCTTGTCCACAAGTGCTTGCTAGTGGATTCAAATACTTCTGGCGTTACAAAGATAGAAAAAGGACTGGGTGATTAACAGTGGCTGTGAAGTAAATGAAATCTCAAATGCCAGATCAAGAAATCTCAGACCAATTTACTGAGACCTAAGTCCTTTACATTTCTAGACCCTCCTGATACACGCCTCTTTCTAAGTTAGCAAAAATAATTTCCTGTGTAAACAAGCAACATAAAGGCAAACCCCTGAAAGTGTCTCCAGAAATACCACTGGAAATTTTGATTATCAACAATAACATATGTTTGCTCCTAGAATTCCAGAATGAATACCAGTGGTGACCATCCAGACGTATAAGGAAAGTGACATTTGAGTGACGTGTGTCAGTATTAAATTTCCTAAAACATTATTACTAAATATTTTAAATGTAATCAAATTATTTATCAAAGGGATGCAAAGACTTTGAAAGCCTGTTGTTTTCAGACTCTGACCCAACTACACCTATTCATTTCACTAGAATCTGCTGATCATCTTAGTTTAATTCACTTATGTATGTTATCAGAAGGAATTCTTAAATGTAAATAAGTTGTTTTGCTTGTTGGAAATCAGAGGCAGGCAGAAGGTGCGCTCAGTGGCGCCCATCCTTAAATCCTGACACGGCGCGGACGCCGTGTGACTGCAATGGTAATGGGAGCCGTGTTCTGCTCTCGGAGGCTGAGTTGTGATTGAAGGCACTGACCTGCCATAGACTTATAATAGGGGAGCAGGTGTGGCAATGATGGACTTTAATTTCCTTTAATAAACCTTTTATGTGCCACACTTTTACTGCCATTTGACGCTCTCCAAGGTCCTGCACATAATAGGTTCATTACTTTTGATTACTATAGTCTATTGAGACAAACAACTCCAGAACACACTATATATTATGTTCAGTTAAACCAATATAGACTATTTATCCATTGTGCATTTTTTCACCTGCAACACTACAGACAAAATTAACGACAGCTCTCCTAAGCTAAAACTATTAAAACCACCAGAACTCTTTTGTCATCATTTCATAATAAACACCACGCCAATCGTTGAACTGCCTTTAAATTAGCAAACAAAAAGTGTTCACTGCTTTTGCTGAACAGCAGTTGCTTCAGTCTAAATAAAATGGTTTGTTGCTATGAATATTTTTAAACTACACAATAAGAGAAAACAACAATAAAACAGAGGTGATTTTTTTCCTGTCGATTTTCTTTCTTTTCAAACCACATGAGTGTATGACGGATGTGACACTGCCTACGATTGCAATGCTTGGCTTACTCAGGATGGGGGCACCGCCTTGTGAAATCCCTCCTCCCTGAGTGTCTCTGTCGCATACAAAGCGGCTCAACTCATGCAAATGCCTCTCCATGTGCTGAACGAACAACTAGATTAAGAGAGATCAGTAGCATGTAAGGGTTAGAATGATGACACCATCAGGTATTTCCAAGGAAGCTTCCATGGGTGAGCAGCCACAAACACCAGTCCACTGTCATCCTGCCACATGGGTGCTATTAACCACCCCAACCCCCGAAAAATTCCCCTAAATACAAGGGAAGGTTGTGCTTCTTTACCAAAACTGAAACCCAGGCTGCCAAGAGTGCCAGGAGGCACATAGAATAGTTTTGGAAACATACTAAACACACTTTCTTTCTAACAGCTTTAAGCATAATTCTATTTTGCAGTTCAGCTATCCGAGAACTCAGTTGCCTTGTCACCACCCCAGGCGGCTGTATCCCCACTAAAGTCATTGGAAGGAATGCATGAATATTCATTGGCCTCCCCTGGGCTGAGCTTGGAATGCTGGTCTCACCACTGTATTTTGTATGGCTACTGTCCTCTTGCTGGTGTAGCACTTATCCTATACAAACATTCTAAAAATCTGACAACTCATTCATAAAACTAGGTTTTCAAGTTCATCTTGAGGGCCATGTAGTAGGAGTGAAATGGATCAAAGCCAGGCTGTAATATACAGCTGGACTATCTCACCTGTTTTCTCTTTCACACCTGAAGAACAAAAGTTGCCAAGTTCCGTGTCTAGTCATGTCTCACGGCTTGTTGGGGAATAAGAATACCAGAAACCTACATACAGCACATGTATTTTTTCTTTCTGGAGGTGGAGAGTTTTAACACAGATCTCATAGATCTCAATTCAGAAGTAGATCTTTGTTCTCTAGAACCTTATATATGGGAATAGAAATTCGTATGTATTCTTCATTTGGAATATTTTCATGGACTTGAATAAATTACCAGTGGGTAGACTTAATTTTTGTAAACTTAAGCCTCATATTCAATGAATATTTATTCAGGTAATGGACCATTAAAAGTGGAAAGAGATTTCCACCTCGGTGTGTGTGTTGGGGGAGATTGTCATCCTTTCAAATTCTTCCAGAATTATAGTAGAGGCACATGATTGTGGTGTGAGTCGGGAAACTGCCCTGAAATAACATGTACTGCAATCTGTAAAATTATGCTTCTAATGGGGAACTTTGTTTTTTCCCTGGAAAAGGAAACTTGATCATCTTCACTGCTTAAGCCCCAATTACTCCTGACAATCCTACAATTAATTTTGTAAAATTTAATGAGACATTTCTTTTCTGAAAAGAGGGTTTTATTTCTTAAAATGCTATCCTTCTCCAGGTTTCTTACATACCTTATTCCCTGTTCTAGATGAGAACGTCAGAAGATATTTCCTGAGATTCCTGCAATGGACTCCTCCCTGCTTTGACAATAAACTCTCAGCAGGGATAGGAATAGCAAAAGTTAACTTTGCTACTCTTATTTTTCCTAATATGAAGCTACTTTAAGGAAAGTTCAGTTAAACTTATAATAAGTATAGATATATTATGAATATTTATATAGATAGGAGGAAAAAGTGGTTCTTGCTGGGTCTCTAATTCATAATAAAGCCAGAAGAACGCCTTTAAAAAGGCTTCATGCTCCAGTTTTCTGGGGAGAGGAGTGAGTACAAGGAGAAATGGCAATAGGGATAGAAATATGTAAAATAAAGAAGGCTAAGAAGCAAAACTTGGAGGAAAAACATGCAAGGAGGTCATGCTGGAGACTCAGACTTGTGGGGGGAGGGGGAAAAGGGTATTTGTTGAAAGCTTAAAATCTGTACCCCCATAATATGCCGAAAAAAAGATGGAAATTAGCAGAGATGCAATTAGAAAAAAATGACCATAAAATTTAACTATTAAGTTGAATTTGGAAAGCTCTCATTTAACTTCTTTATATACTTACAAACCTATATACAGATGGACAAAGTCATTTCCTAGCACTTATATTTGACACTTTTCTTACTGGAGCTTACATCAGGGGCAATAAGCAGGTCTCTTCCACATCACTCTTGGGCACAGATGTGCTACCTCTTTTTGGGCTGAAGAGTAAGTCCTGGAATTGCTGCTTCATGGTGGGGAGAGATTCAAGGAGCAGGACACAAAATTCATAAACTCAATTTCTTTCATTCACTCAAGCCGATTACTGGCATGTGAGGAGTTTTAGTTCCCTTAGATTTTTTCATTCAAAATTTAACATAACAGCAAAACAAAAACACAAAACACAACTATCCATGTAAATATTTAGTCACTTCTTAAAAATTGGATATGACAAATCTCTTGGTGATGCTGAGGTTTGCTTCTCCTTTCAATAGAGCTCTAGACACTGATAAACCTCAACATATGATTCTTTCTCATTTTTTGAGACAGGGGCTCACTCTGTCACTGGGGCCGCAGTGGCCCGATCACAGCTCACAGAGCCTCAAACTCGTGGGCTCAAGAGATCCTCTTGCCTCAGCCTCCTGAGTAGCTGAGATTATAGGCATGTGCCACAGTGACCAGCTAATTGTGTGTGTGTGTGCACGCATGTGTGTAGAGTCGGGGTCTCACTATTGCTCAGGCTGGTCTCAAACTCCTGGCCTCAAGCAATCCTCCTGCCTCAGCCTTCTAAAGTGCTGAGATTACAGGCGTGAGCCACCACGCTCAGCCAATGTATACTTATAATATACATTTGCAAGTAGTCTTGAGTTCTTAATATTTGTGGAAAAACCATGCTGACCACAATGTTTTGAGGGCACTTTCTGAAAACCCGCATACAATTAATCTTAGTACTGTTGAGTGAGGTGTCTCATGTGGATAGCTACTTCAGATCTGAGAAGTTCTTCTCATGCATTCCAGTTGCAGTGATCGCCCCCTTTAACAAGCTTTCCCCGTGCTCCTGCCCTGGAGTTTTTGCCCTCGCAGTGCAGTTTTGTGTGCGGTGTTGTGTTGCTCTTGTGAGATGTCATTTCAAATGGCGAGAGGAAGCTGTGCGGCTGCCGAGAAAAGACCCTGGGGTCCTCTCCACGAGGAGCCTTCTGTCCTCAGTGGAAGCTTCCTTTTCAAAAGTCAGTTTAAAAAAAATGACAAGAAAAAACTCAGGAAGTTGGAAAACGCTAAGCCTAGAAAATGAAACAACTAGATGATGCCAGTACCTTGGAATGAAATCTGGCCAGATTGAAGAACAAAGAAACCTACACTGAGTGCCCTTTCTTTTCATGACTCTGGCATCATTTTGTTTTAAGCATAGCTCTGGATCAGCCCACAATGGCAACAAAGATGTTTACCTGTTACACAGGAAAAATTATGGGGAAAATGAGCTGCAGTATGAAATAAAGGAGACTAGTTAATTTATGGAGACGAATACTAAGAAAGGATGCTTAATATGGGTTTTTTCCTCTGTTGTTTCCCTCTCTTTATTTTTCTTGTTTTCTTTTCATACATTTATTAATTGCTCACAAATAACAGGAGTACAATCAGAAAGTAAACATTTAAAAAAATCTAAACTTTAACAGAAACATGTTTTTTTTACACCATCAGTGAGGACATATTTATAATTTTCTGAACTTTTCATCCTTTGTTTTCACACTATTCTTGATTTCAACTCTGTCCATGCATGTGTCTTACTGTACTGTCTTTGATTCTATACAGAAAGTTGAAGAATTGAATGATGTGTATACTGTAGATTTATGGTAATTCTCCTAGTCTCTCCAAATTCCTCCTCTCCCCTATAAATGCCAAACTCAAAAAAAACCCACCTTCAGTCTGCTGTCAGGTTAGGTCTAGCTGTCTAGAAAACAGCTCTTCCTGGGGGGTCACATACATGCCCATCCCCCACAGATGAGATGATTTTCAAAGGGAATTTTTTAAAGCCACTTGGAAATGTACCATAATAAAAGAAATCTTAGACCTGAGACAAATTTGGGCAGCATTACAAGAAGAATGATTTCTTTTGATTCTCACTTCTGATTTGAGTTGTCACTGCTCTCGTAGACTTCATACTGCAACTTTGCACAACTGGTAATACTGAACATAAACCAAAGCCATGTGTTGGTGTCCTTTTGCCAAATGACTCCAGCAAATAGTTCTATTATTCCCTTAGGTAACCAACTTGTGCCAAGGATTTCTATTAGTCACCATACCACAGCCTCAGAGTCACAGCTTGGTGACATTAGGGGGCAATCGCCAGCTTTATGTTTTAGGAGAGGGTTTTTTTGTACATATTTTTAACATGCCATGTTTAAAGATAACTCAGGGCAAGTAACACACTAAAAGGGCCTTTAAAATTTTTTCTTGCTGATATTTTGAGATGAATTTGTTACAAAATATGTCAGTGTTAAAAATCAAGCTTCTTCACAGAGATACATTATTTGAAATAAAAATTTCTATCAAGAACAATCCAATCCCTTACTTTTCAGTGTTTGCAGGAATTAATTCTAGAAGTCATCTATAGTGCTTTTAAAATATCTCACTTATTTATTCTTAATCTGTAAGCAAACTAATTTCTAATAAGTATGAATTCAAATTGGATTTTTAAAACAATTTTAACAATCAATGAACCTTTCTTTAAGGGCAAACACATGTGAACAAATAATACAGACCAATCAATTTTCCAAAAAGGTTTGTAGGTTCAGAGGATTCACCTATTTAATATTTTTAAATATTAAATGTCTGTGCTTCTGACAAAAATCACCATTCTAAATTGAGTGCTAATAATCAGTCTGAAAGCAAATCCACAGAGGTAAAGTGCTGTTGTAGGAGAGAGCCTTTATATAGACTCTTGGATTGAATTCATTTTCTTTCAATATATTTACTTTTTAATAAATAAAAATGTCACCTTACCTCTCTCTTTCTCCAGGTAATTGGTATGCCAACTCAGTTTGCCCTGCTCCGTCAGAGGGACTAAATGTCTTTGTCTGATTTAGTGAGAAATCTTGAAATTCATTCTTTTAAGATAAAAAATAAAAGAAGGAAAGCATTATCAGGCTAAATAAATAAAGAGCAGAAATAAACACTGATGTGAACAATCCACAATGTGTTGACACTTTTACCTGTAACTTGGTTGGACTATACTACCAACAGAACGAAAACTTTTGTACTACATATAAATGAGACAAATATTTTTCCATTTTTAAAGGTAAGTCAAATTCCTTTCATCTTTACTACCAAACTACCTGTCTATCTATCTATTATATCTTCAATTTAGTTCAAAAATTAGATAAGAGAGACTCAATTATCATTCCTATTATCTTTACTTTTAACCATTAAAAGAACAAGTTGAGACAAGATTTAGAGTATACCATACTCAGGAAATCACTAAAGACAGATTCAAAATGTATCTTTTTGTTATTTGGGGTTCTCTTTAATGAGACCATCATAAAATGCTACTAATCCTTTTGCCAGTGTGTTAACTTGCCTTCCAAGGAAGCCGCTTGCCCTTGGCTCACTCTGTGTCCGACCTTCCTGCGCAGAGCTGCGCCCTCTATTTGCTCCTGGGGTGGGAACAGAACCTGTTTCTATCAGGCCATGTGGCCCTTGAAAGAAAACTTTTAAATTCAGTGCAGTACACTCAACACACTAGAGAGGGTCTATTTACACAAACACCACATATATCAACACATATTCAGAATATTTATATCTGGCAGTTATGGTATTTTAAAGCACAGGCTACCAACCTTCCTTGCAGAAGACTTCTGATCGTCCTGCCTTTTACCCTTTGCAGTATATGGAAGCGCCCAGCTTCTTAACCATAGATTTCTGTATTTCTTGTAGGCTTTGACCAGACATTAAGCAGATGCTTCTTCAACTCAAGTCAGTAACTGTAGTTTCTGGGGGGAAATGGAGATAGAACTCTCTCAAGTGATAGAGTACATTATTGCACATGATGAAAGAATTGAAAAGTAGCACAGGAGCTTGGGAATTCTTAGTTTGTGTTTGCAACTAAAAAGAGAAGCTTTCTCTACAAATGCTTTCGGCCTCTTCTACTGCACCCTCAGTTCAGAAAGAGTTCTGAAGCTTTCCACCTGCCTACTCCCCTTTGTTTGCCACACACTAACCTAAAACAAAAGATGCTGGAAAACCGTCACACTGGTGAACAAAGCTCTTTCTAAATCCTGAAAGTAATGGCTTTTTGTCTAATACCCTATCGTGTTATGTATTTATTAGCAATACATTTTCCATTTATTTTCTCAAAGATTGCCAATAAAGAACTGAATCACATAAGGGAGTAGCTGTAAAGCCTCTGAGTTCCCTAATGTCAAACTCATTAGCATTCGAATAAGCACACAGCAGCACATCATCTGCACAATTGCAATTTTTTACTACTTTTAATAGCATTTCTCAAAGGGCTCATTTTCAACTTTCTTCAGTGGTTAGTTGGTTCTCAGGGGAAAAGTAGCTTCCTGACGCTCACAGCTTCCACTCCACAGCCCGGGCCGTTTGCTGTCAGATGCATCAGCCTGGGCCCTAACCCCATCTGCCGGGGCCCCTCCCTGGGGAAAGGAGTTAAGGCAGCACAGCTGAGAGCAGCTTGGAGCAGTGCACAGAGGGCACCAACAAAATACAAGTTTAGAAATAGGATTTTACACCACAAGGCTCGTGAAGTCTAAGCACACAAAAATACAGACGGGAACAAGGGAGCCCAGCAGACGCCCTTGGTTCCACGTGCCTGTCATTAATAACTCCACCCACCTGCGGTCGGGAAGCGCACCCTTGGCGATATCAAAAGAAATCTTCCACTGAAATCGGGCCCAGCTAGCCCCTGCAACTGCACTGTATCAAGGAGATACCTTTAAAAATCCATTTTTATTAATGGCCATACTTTAATCTTTTTTTTTTCAGAAGATCTTAAATCGTGTTATAAAACTTAAGGACTTATCTAAAATATTCATAGGATATACACATTTTTAAAGACAGTTACTCTAAGACATGGAATCTTGACCAAACGCCCAGAACTTCCAACAGAATGAGTTGTAGACGGGGTGAATACTTTTGCACTGAAGCTCGTATTTTTACGGAACAGCAATCTTAAAAGACTAAACAACAGCCTGGACGTTAGTAACCTGACAGGTCACACAATTCTTAAGTGTGTGCCCTGATGACGACACAGCTTCACTTGCTCGCTGAGCCATACAAAGTATTCCATTTGTCTGCTGTACAATCCACCAGTAATTAGGGACGCTCAGCGCTCCACACCTGCTTCCTGAGTGAGCACTTTCTTCCGAAAAAGTTCTTTAAACCTATGGTGCAATGTAATGAGTCTACTGTGTTATAAAAAAACAGAAACAGTATATCAGATTATATTTTATCAGGTGGGATGAATGACTTAAAGTGATGTGATACAAATGTCAATTGCATCACCAAAGCGGAGAACCACAATTTACTTGTGGTCCTGAAGTATATAATATTACAAAAAAATCTTCCAAACTAAACTCAAAGTGAAAAATTTGGTGAAAGGGCAAATGAGTATCATAAGAAACGTATCTAGCACTCGTAGCCCTGTAATATGATGACTGATATGAGGTCACCACTCTGACCAATTTCTTTTTGGAATTTGCCTACCAACAGAACTAGCCCGTTCTCTCTTAGTCAGGATAGAATGCACAGAGTCCTCTCAGAAGTTTGGGATGTTAATACAATTTCCGAAGACCTCTCTGAGACCTGGTTTCTCAACAAGTAAACACAAAAATCTCAACATATTGAATTTAGCACAGCCATCCCATGAGGGCCTGTCTGTACAACTTCCAACAGTTAATGTCTTCTTCGCTTTCCTAACTTTAATGTCCTCACCAATTGTTTATTAGTTGGAATGATGAAAAAGCAGGATTATCCTTCCCTAGTTTATTATTTTTTTTGAATGGTAAGACAATTTCTTTCCAGTTCTAAGTTCCTAGATTTAACATTAATCAGTATGATAATTTAAGTTATAGTCACATTTGTATAAACCTTGATGATGTCTTTGATGAAAAAACAATGGAATTCTTCAGTTTTCCATTTGCCATTTTGCTCCATTACATTTCTAATGGAAACCTAAACCCTTTATTTTGGAGTTCATAATCAATGAGCTATAGAATTGGTTTTTCCATCATAGGAAGAGATTACATATTTAGAAGTTGATGAACAAAAATTATGTAAGCCTATTGCCACTTCGTTTATGCTGTCAAAAATTACTTTCTTCTGCTTAGCTTTCTAAGTTGGCATTAGGGAATAAATATCCTTTGTTGGTTGGAGCAAATGAAGATAAGTAGTGAATTTCATTTAAGATGTTTTAGGTGAAGAAAGTACTGTTTATTGGCCACAAAGTTTACTTGTACCACCAGCCCATAATTAGGCTCCTGATCACAGCAGGAGCAGGAAAAAAAGAGCTTCAGCAAAACTGGAGCTCCTCTGCAGGAGAAACAGCTCCTGCTGCAAAGTGGGTCAGTGAGGTCACTTACTTTTAGGGAGGATGTTATAGATTTTAAATCATTGCATATTCGACAAGATGAATTATTTGATATTAGCAATCAAATTGCTTTACATGATGCATTATTAATATTTCTTTGCTTCCCTGAGTGATTGTTGAAGTCCAAATACAAACAAAACTACCTGTCATTCAGTATAGTTTGTCATTTTAAAAGAAAAATAAAATAAGTTTTGTCAAACAATATACAAAATTTCCATTGATGGATTGAATTGATTTTTACTGATTTGTCCAGCTTTTTTAAATCCCTGCCCTATAGAATCTTTCAAATAAATTAAGTCCACAGAGTGCTATAGCAACTCATTTCCTTCCAGAAAATGCAATTTTTGCTTTGCAGATTGCTGAAGTCACACAGAACATCAGAATATCTTCTGGTTTCCTCTGTGATACGAAGTCATCGTACTTACAGGAGTAGGTATTATAGCATTTGAATTTGTCCTTTCGGTCCTTGTGAAAATAAAACACAGATCTCTTCTCCTTAAACTCTGAAGCAATTCCAATAACTTATGCAAGACCTATATTTCTCCCCGCAAGATGATTTAACTTTCACCTGATTTAAGTAACAAAATAGCCCTCAAAGATACTTAAAGCCTTGCTGTAATTAACATAACTGCATTTAGATGCCATTCATGACTGATAATTCCAACACCTTGTGGGGAAAAAAAAGTTGCATGCTGTAAACATTATAAACATATTCAAATAAGCTTAACACAATCTGCCATGCTTATTTCTGCCTAGATCATGGACCAGCGAAATGGTTAATGCAAATGGATTTATAATTTGCTTTGGGGGGCCAGTTTCTTCTCCTTATTTATTAGCCCAGCTGATGGGGCAGATTTGATGAGGCACTTCTGGAATAATTGAGTCATCACACAAAGAAGGCTGCTAGCATTCAGAGTGGTTTTATCAGCAGCAAGCAGGCCTGATTACTGACAATTACACTCTGATCCGGTGATGGAGGAGAAAGAGCCAACGAGTGGGAAATGTCCGTGTTTCTATCCAGGAATAATTTCTACATTCATTTTACATGCTAAGTGTTTCCTATCTCTGCATAATAAACTGTAAACAGGAATAGATGGCACAATGTCCCTTAATATTTCCTGGTAATGAAGACACAAATGTACAGTGAGTGCTGATAAATATAGATGAAACATAAGCTATTCTCCCAGTCTGCATTGTTACCTTTAAAACAAATGCATTTTCATGGTAAAAGCATAATCATAGCTAATGCAAAAAAATGACAGAAGATTGAAACTGTCCTTGTAACTACATAGAAACTTTGTAAAAGTCCTGTTAATCACTGCTGCTTTAAAGGCTGGCAAGCTGAAGGTGAGGGACTAGGAACCACAGCATTTTGTTCTCAACAGTCAGCTGGGAGGAACGCCTTGGGTTGGAGGCAGCAAAGGACAGTGCATCGGTGACCTCCTTAACACTCAGGGAGCACGTCTCAGAGCTACACCGAGGAAACAATGACGCTGGCACGAGGAGACACCTTCACTAGCATGGATTTCAATTTCCCTTCCATCAGGCCATTCAACAAAATGTTGATCAGGAATAATGAAGTTAGACCTAAGATTGCATGATTTGTCACGCAGAGCAATGCATGACTGTCTTTTGCATGGCATTTTTAACCACTTGTTTATGACCTGGTTTATTAACAAAACACTGTGAGCAAAAACAAATCTCATGGAGATGTCTTACTAAACCAGCCTTCCCTCTGACTCTGAACCCAGTTTGCCAGAGAAAGGGAATGCTCAGACTTCTTATGTGCCACTATAGATTTTAATGGAAAAACTTTAATTTCCTGTAATATCCAGAGTTCCCTCTTTTAAAAAGCCAATCAGGTGCAAAGCCCCCCAAAATGAACCTGCCCGGCTCTGCTGGCTTAATCTTCTCTCTAAAGCCCCTTCCTGGCTTCCAAAGAAATAAAAGTTATTCTATGTTCTCCAGTGGTAACTATGGAAACTCTGTTCTATTAAGCTAACCACTTAACTTCAAGGCTTGTGTTGCAACTAAATGTGCTATTTTGAGTAAATCTATACTAAACAACCTTATAATGTCAAAACATTTTTAATAAAGTTCAAAGAGCACTTGTTGATTCAAAAATAAGGCTTTTTGTTATGCAAAGAGAATTTTCTCCATTTAAGCCATTTCATTATATAGATTGTTACACAATATACTTGATATCCTTAGATATTTTCCATTTTCCTTATTCATTTTTAAGAGGACTTTTAGAATCTTTTCAACAGTCTGTTGTTTTTCCCAATGGTGTGTTTTTTCCATTAAGATCTTCCCAATATTCTATCAATTTGAATTTAGATAAAAGAATATATTTATTTATCTTCATTCTCTGGCTATGAAATATAGAATGGGTGAATCTACTGAAATTTACAAAGAAAATGGCATGACACAATTGTGGAGGCCACTGGGTCACTGAATTTTTGCAGAATGATCCTTGGATTTCATTCTCACCAGTGTTAAATTTAATATAGATTTTAAAAATGCAAGTGTCTTTCTTCCAAAAATTTCCTTATTATTTGTTCAGCACATGTTTACTGGGCAGCAATCTATGTATTGCCCCATGTTAGACAGTGGGTGCCAAAAGACACAGAAAGCACAGCTCTTGTTCTCAGGAGGACACAGCGGCGAGCGGAGGATGCCAGTGTAATGTGGGAAGCAGTATTAATCCAGAGAGAGGCAGAAGGAGCAACAGGAGTATAGACTTAGATCAGACTGCAAAAGCTTCCAGAAAATGATTCCTAAAAAATTCATCTCCAGGGAGACTCAGAGAACTTTAACTAGAATAAATAAGTGTCCCCGAAGACCAATCAATTGAAAGGACACCAATAGTTGAAATTGTACTTGGTTAAATGATGCATCAAAGCGGTATTTTTATGTAGTTACAAGAGGATCAGACACTTGAGGGTCGAATCAGGTAGCTAAGATTAAATATTTTGAATTTGTTGATTTCATTTGTAACTTTCAAGGCAACTTTTCCCTTCAGTGTCAGAACTGAAAAACTGCTGAAATGTGATTTGTCATTCATATTATGGTTGATAGCATCTCCCAGAAGTGTGTATTGTACAGTGTTTTGATGGCACCCTTGTCTTGATGACTGTGTACTGCCTGATATTATACTTACTAAGGTCTCTTTTCTCTTCCCTGGGCCAGTGTAAGCTCATGGAAGCTATGTCTTGTTGACCTTCTGATGCAACACAATTTAATGGCCATACCAGGTGCTCAAAACATTATTATTAAATTGAATTGAAAAAACCTAAAATAATATTTTTCAGATGACTGAGATAATTGCTTATTAATTGGATTTCAATACAAAACACCCCAGACATTCAGCATCTGGGATCCGATAGATTTTGTCTGGTTGTTATGCCAGCTAAGGAGAACTTACAATTTTGTCTTCCCTTCTGTTCAAAACATCAGCTCCCAAAGTGCAAAGAAGAGCAACTATGAAGTGTAATAGATTTTATGATCAGATTTCCCCGATGTCTACTATTATCTCATTTATTAATATGTGAAAAATTATGACTTATGATTTTAAAATGGGTCTTTTTTGTGGAAATAAAAGTCAAATGTAAAATAGAAATAGAATTAGTTTTTTATTTTTCCAAATTTGGGAAGAAAACTATGTAGGAAGGTCTTTAATTAATTTAAACTATAATGCAGGCCCAAGTTTTTATACCTCACTATACTCACTCAAAATTTTCCAGAATGTCCTATTGTGTCTCTACATTTATTTAAAAAAATTATACCCATATACTCCATACTGATGACTTTTGTATGGGAGAGACAATGGCACAATCCATGAGGAAAAGGAAAACTAATCTATTATATTTACCAAAATAGTAAAGTGACACAGTATTTTCTAAATAAATATAGCTCGCCTTCACTGGACTCTTGTCAAGTGATAGGCATTCTTTTAAGTACTTACATGCACTGTCTTACTTAGTCATCATAACGTACTGATGGAGAAGTACTGTCAAGTTTATATACAAGGAAAGGGAAGCAAACTGAGCTCACCGCTGTACCCAGTGCTCACACAAGTAGCAAGAGGTAGAACCAGGATCCACCATCTACGCTCAGCACTTGGCCCAGCGTTGACTAGTCAGTCTCTTCCACCCCTGATGTTCCATTCTACTCACCCACACTCAGCTAAACATGGACTCACTAAAGGGTCCAATAAAACACGTATTTTTTTGTGCCCTGGATGACACCAACATTATCTTCACAAAAACATCACATGGAGAATTTTTTGAGGTGGAAGGGGTATTGCAAAGTAGAAGACAGAAATCTCCCAGTTGGTGATAACTAGCATTTGGATCCACAAAACGAATATTCCAATTCTTACAATTTATCAATCTTAGCCTCCCAAGAAAATTTTCTCTTCATTCAAACACAGGAAATTCTTCATAGGATTTATATTGCCAGCTGTAAAACATAACCCATTTATTGATTGGCCTATTCTCTGTGTAGGTTTTCTATTGCTACTGTTAACAAATTTTCACAGACTCAGTGGCTTAAAACAGCACAAATTTGTTATCTTATGGTTCTAGAGGTCCAAAATTTGGTATGGTCTCACCAGGCTAAAACCAAGTCAGGCTGCCTTCCTTCCTGTAGGCTCTGAGGGAGAATTCATTTCCTCACTCCTTTGGGCTCTTGGTGGAATCTAGCTCCCTGCTGTTGTAGGATTGAAGTCCCTGGTTTCTTGCTGGCTATAAACTGAGATCCATTCCCAGCTCCTAGAGGCTACTGCCTTTTTCGGCTAATGGCACCCTTCCTCTGTATTTAAAGCTAGCAACTGTGGGTTAAGTGGAGTCCTTCTCATATGACATCTTTCTAACTCTTTCTTCTGCCTTTTTCTTAAGGACTATGTGATTAGTTGGTACTTCCTGGATAACCCAGGATAATTTCCCCATCTCAAATCCTTCATTTAATCACACGTTCATAGGTTTCAGGAATTGGGACATGGACATCTTCGAAGGGATATTATCCTGTTTGCTACATCCTTTAGTAACATATGTGAATTCTGAATGTTTAAAAGTATTAATGCTCCTAGTATCAGACGTGTGAAGTCATAAATCAAGATGAACAGGTGTAACACCTCTCAAAAATATGTATGAATATAGCCCAAATTACTATGAAGATACCAACATTAACAAAATCAAGCATCTTTGCTGGTCTTCTAATAAAATCAAGTTCCTTAACTTCTCAGGTTTTTAAAGGATGTTGAAAAATTGGGTAATTTTTCTCTATGAGGGGAAAGTTTATTTTTAAATAATCTTCACTTACCTTCCCTAATAGCTATTGGATTTGAACTGAAGAGTTTCCATTGCTACCGAAGAGAAGCATCGTCAGAGGGAAAAGGGAAACAAAAAAAAAGAAAAGTTAATTAAATGGTAATTATCTACAGCTTGTTAACTATATAAAACAATCTTTTCAAGTAATTTACACACTGACTATTAGAATATGGGTTGGGCTACTACCAACCTTCAATAGTCAAACAATATTCATTTCAAAGACTCTCTCTCAACAAGAAAAACAGGTGTCTACTGTTATCAGAAAATGCTTTTTAGATTTGAGCCCTTTTGTATGTATGTACATTTGAGAACCTTTTCTAGGGACACACCTGAGAGTGAAAGTGAATTATCAATGACAGTCAACAGTCTTTTCTAAAAAAAAAAAGAAAAGAAAAAAAAAAAAGAATCAGTGGTTTAACACTAATTTCTAATCAGATCGTACAGAAAGGAACAGCCCGCACGGCAGCTGTACTTTTCCCAGGGTTAATTACCTTTCACTGCTCTCTACTAATGAGTCAGCTGTTCCTGTCATTGCACACTACACTGGTTCATCTGGAACTCTAGCTGTGGACAAACACAGGAGTGACAGTCCTATTTACATATGGGGAGGGGGCCATTGCATAAAGATTTCAAAAGGATTTTTTAAAATCCTTTAATTCTCATGTGTTTCCAAGCTAATAATATTTTTACAAATAAGGCTTTACTTGGTTAACTATTATTTTCTCCAAGGTCACTGGGTTCATCATGAGTAGATGTAAAACAACGCCAAACCCTTGGAAAGAGGCGAACTTCATCACCTCCGTGGAAAGCTTTAGCTCACTGATTCCTCAGCACCACAGCAATCCCCCTAGCGGGATGAAAGACAGCCTTGAAAGTTTGCAAGTTTCTACACTGGTAACAAGACTTCCTAAAAAGAATTCATATTATAGAAAATGAAATTCAAAGGTAGAAAACAACCTAAGGAAAAAAGACCCCCAAATAGCTTTGTTTGTACATGAAAAGTGAATTAGAAATTGCGTTTTACAAAAAATTTAGACTTGAGAACTATGCTTTTACCTAATAGTTTAGATCATTGTGGGAAATTATATATATATATATATATATACATATATATGAATATATGTGATTTATTACACAAATAATAGCTCTTTTACCCAGATGATGGCTCTACTCTCCATCCCATAATGCAGGGACACTATGCCCTTAGATATTTTTGAACATTGCAGCTGAGGATTTTACACATCTCTGTCCCCCTTTTTAATTCCAGAGGTAACTGAGAGGGATGTACCAACACTAAAGCGTCCACTGAGTTCAGCTTGGACAGCAGCCAAAGGCCTCCGAAAGAAGGACAGTTTCCACTGGTAACTTCCCTGCTCTAAATCTTAAAATCTTACATCAGCGGCACTCAGATTTTAGTGGGCATCAGGATCACTTGGGTGTCATGTTAAAAGGCAGGTTCTGCTGCTGACACTCTGAGGTCCGGATTGATGCCATGTGTGTCTCACGAGGGGCCGGGAGCTGGGGCTGCCCCGTGGACCACGCAGAGGGGCAGTGTCAGAGCAGCAACCCTCTATGGAGCCACTGCAGAATCACCTGGAGGGCTTGTTAGCCCAGGTTACTGGTTCCACGTTATGGGTGGGGCCTGAGAAGGTGCATTTCTAGCAAATTCCCAGATGATGGTGGGGCTCACAGTTTGGTGACCAAACTCTAAGAACCATTCCTTTAAATAATCACTATTAAATGCACTGAAGAATCTCAACCCCCAAAGACTAAATATATCCACATGGAATAGAAGCACTTCCACTTTATTCTAGAGCTATTTATTTGCTCTGGTTTTTATACTTTATGATAGAAAACAACAGATAAAAAGTGAATGTTCTGGCCTATCCCTGAAGTACATTCTGAGAACCACTTTATAGCTTATTGAACTTGATCTTCCCTTCAGATGAAGCCATTCATGTCAAGAAAGGAACAGTAATTATGTACTTCTTCATTCAAGGTGCCATTATCACATACAAGCTCACAAATTACAAATCTAAAACTTTGCACAATATTTAAACTTGTCAAAAGCAAATAAAATATGGGAATGAATTAATTATAAATTATACCATAAAACAAATTTACATGTCAAGCAAGGATGCAAATATCTTTGAGGCATTCAATGTTTTACCAGCCCTAGTAAATTCTGACTTACTTTCTACATGGTACAATGTGTTTTTCACATACACTGATATATGAAGTGTTCTTTGTTGATCATTGCTATTTTGAAGAACATATTATCCAAAAAACTTATTGGAGGATAGAAAAAAGTTTAATGCTAAAAATATATTTGCGGTGCTGCTCATATAAATATCTAAGTGATAAAGCTGCTACAAGGGCATTTTGCAACATTGTTCACAAGAATACACATTTTAGAAAGAGGAAAGTAAGAAGATAAATTATAGAATGAAATATCTGCTGAGTGTGTTTCAATAAAAAGGTGGAGGGTGATTCTCCAAACAGTGAATTACTTGCTGAGCAGAAGTGAGGTGCATTAGCCTTGATCTGGGGGCTCAGGAAGGGCTATTTGGTGTCCTGAAACATGCACGTACTAGGTAGTGCTCCAGTACAGCTGGGAGAACATGATTCAATGTAAGAAATATCAGTAAGCACATAGGAAAGATTTTAAAGAAATTAGTGCTTCTTCTGAATTCTTGCCACCACTTATTTGCTTTTGCTATTCTAATAAATAAGATACTTATTTGACAAAGCTATTTTAAAAGTATCAATATCATCCAAATACAAGAAGATAATAATATCACAAGTGACAAATTTGATTGATACCAGTGTAACCAATCCTTTTGGTATAGATCAGTATTATTTAATTCATTAACTTATACACTCAAATCTTCATTAAGCACCTATTCTTCTGGAGAGGTGGGAAACTTTATATAAATTGAGGAGTCCTCAGTGAGTGGAAAGTGGGGTGAGGTGAATGCCACTCCAATAGCAAAGCTACTGGTGTACAAATCAAAAAAGTCAATAAAATAAAAATGTCCAAGCAGATGTGAATGCCAGATTTATTTCTTGATAACTAAGGAGAACAATCTGAAGGCTTTTATAAAAACTCTGCCACAGAAGTACAAACACTGGGGTGCACAGTTTGAGAGAAGAAGAATTTGTCATCCTATGAATTTAGCATGGAGATGCACACTGTTGTCACGGGTGGAACCTGCATGTGAGCGTCCAGGTCCTAACGGATCTCTCTCCTTGGATGGTTTCAAGAGTTACAACGAATCAGACTACATGAGTGCCTCTGGTCCTTTCAACGTCTGAGTTTACAGTCGTCTCACATGACCCATCTGAGGTCAGTACAGTCCAGAGTAGGCGTTTTATTTGGTGCTTATCCAATTTCAGTCTATTATTGTCATTGGCTGTCACCAGCCGATTGGCTTTTCTCTAGATCACGGTGTCTTCATTAGCTGTGGCCAATTTCTGAGGAAATTTGACCTTTTGGGTTTTCTTTTTAAATTAAGTTAAATGTATTTTTATTGAATATGGACAAATTATACCTCTCTATGTTTATGGAGTATCAAGTGATGCTATGGTACATGCAAACAATGTGGAATCATTGAATCGAGGTAATGAACATATGCATGAACACAAATGCTTATATTTGATTCCTCTTTCCTAACTGAAACATTGAACCTTTGACCAGCATCTCCCCATCTGCCCACCCCTGCCTCTGGTAACCTGCATTCTGCTCTCTGACCCTGCCTTCAATCCTTCTTAGTTTTCTATCAGAGGTAAAAGATTACATATTTTTGGCTACGTTATATTTTTCTAAAAAAGCATGTACAAGAATAAAATGATTTCCAAGAACTATAGTATCCCTGTTTTTATAGACCTAATTTATACAATGTGCTTTCAAAGTGCATGACAAGAACACTCATGAAAGGAAGACTTTGCCTCAGGGTGACCTGGATGGGTTTCCTGTCATCCCACCTCCTCCTGCGCCACACCTGGGCTGTGCGTTCCCACAGGAAGCTACACCTGCCTTGCTCCTAGCACCTGGCCCACCAGAGTCATGGTTCACACACTCACCCTCCGCTCCAGACTGGAAGCTCCTTGCTCCATGTCCCTCCCGAAAGCAAGGTGCCCGAGAGGGCTACCTATGGCAATGGGAACCAGCTGACCATTTGCTGTCTTAAGAAAAAAAGAACTATCATGAGGCTATTGCCTCTGTGATTTGACTTTTAGGAAAACAATGGACCAAATATTTAAAGACAAAGCAGTAAATATTCACAGCATGTAGCAAAATGTGATGCTGGTGAAAACATACAGTTTAGATTTGCTTATAAGACTAATGAAACATAATGCAGAAAGTAGGTAATACTGCATTATTGATGTTATATCCAAAAACTAGTGCAGTAGGAACAAATCTTATGAATAGTTTACTTGTAAATTGATATTAATTTTTACAAATGAAAAAAAAAAAAACAAATGCACAAAAAGCATATGTAATAATACTATATCCTTAACACACAGCTATCGACTTTGAGGCACAGGAGAAGGGGACATTAATGTTTAAGGCTGACCACTGCCAGGTCAACCACATGCTAAAATTAGTGGAGTGACTGGCATAGTAAGAATGCCCAAAAAGCTAAATTGGGCAGGTCTGAAAATACAAAGAAATAAAGTAAAAAGATAATGGAAGAAATACAATATTATTTATCATGAAAATATAAATGAATGTGCCAAAGGACATACTGATCTCAAATGAGATAATGGTGGCGGTGGGAAATAGAGAGCAGTAAATGATGGCTGGGGTCGGGGGTGGCTCACACCTGTAACCTTAGCACTCTGGGAGGCCGAGGTGGGAGGATTGCTCTAGCTCAGGAGTTCAAGATCAACCTGAGCAAGAGTGAGATCTCATCTCTACTAAAAATAGGAAAACTAGCCAAGCATCATGGTGAGCACCTGTAGTTCTAGCTACTCGGGAGGCTGAGGTAGGAGGATCACTTGAGCCCAGGAGTTTGAGGTTGCTGTGAGCTAG